GCAACATTTAGGATAGATTTCAGATTTAAATGTAACATAACTATATAAATGATAGGACAGATCGATTCTAGCATAACATTTTACTGCCAACAGTTGTTGTAACATAATAGCGTTCAACAAGAATAGTATGGCAAATACTGTAAAAGTATATTCAAGATCACTGTTGAATAAGGATTTCCGGAGTTCGGCAAAATATGAGATTTTAAAAAAATGCCGAACTTTTTGGTTTGGTTATTATGTATTATCGATTCTATACCCAAGTCTTTAAGGCAATGGTTATATTTAAAGGTATCGGTGCAATTCAATCTCTATTTGGTTGACACATGAATAGATAATTAACAACGGAACAAAAGACAGGAACAATTTTTATATTGCTCTTGAATGTTTTCGTTTGATATATTCGTCATTTTTTTTTAAAGACACGTACGAAAAAAATCTCCACTACCAAAATCATACATCTACATGTACAACGGAAAAAAAATAATTGTGATCTTTTCAACTTTTATTAAGAAATAAGGTATTATTTCTAAACATCTATCGGGATATAAAAACGGGATGGTCACGAAATTAAATTCCATTAAGCCCAATTTGCGAACTTTTATGTCAGTAAGTTCTACAAAGCTCTTTTTGATTCTTTGGGCTTTGCCTCGCAATAAAACTTTCTTAATATGCTTGCTAGGAAGTCTGCAGAGACTATCAAGAAGTCGAGATGTTCCCCAAAGACTTCCGAGTGTCAATCTAAAAATTAATTGAAAATATTTCTTGAAGTGTTTGATTTTTTCAATTATATAAATATTTCTATATGCTTTCATTTATTTGTTTCTTTAAACAATTTTCCTCAAATTTTTGCGTGCTGTTTGATTTAAGGTAGGACAAAACAGATAGCCAAAAATTATCCCATAATTCAATTTTCTTGAAATTTGCAATATTTTACAACTATAATAAGCTTCATCCACAGACAAAGTTGAGTTGAAATTTGACCGCTAGATATTTTGTAATCAACACCACAATTTCAGCCCAAGACACCTTGGATAGAAAGGGCAAATTTTCTCACTCTTTGTCAAAATGTAAGTCGTTTTGAAATAAATTTGTCACCAATCTTGAATTTTTTTATTCCAGTCTATTGAAAACATCATAAAAAAGAACAACATAATGAAAAAACAATAATTAATGCAAAGTTTTAATTGTTGTGTATGGCAGAACTATACATAAGGGTCTGCTACAAAAAAATGAAGGGCACATTTTTGTGCTATCCACCATACTAAAACTCAAAAAAAAGAACCTATGATTAAAATTGAAAGAAAAACTAACATAAAAAACTTTGATATATATTAATGTAAATGTATAAAAATTAAAAGAATCCAACCGTGGGAATTGCAAATAAACAAGGTCTAACCCCCCCCCCCCACCTCCCCGACACACACACTTATCAATATTCAAAATGAATCACCTATCTGTATCATTTATTAAACTTTTTTCATTTCAATTTTTTTGTCCTCCCTATTTTTTCACCTCCAATGTCAATTTATCAAAAATTAGACAGATATTTATACATAGGGTGTTACATAAGATTTCTTTTGCAGTTTATGGCAGAACAATAAGGGCACAGTTTATGTAAGAAGGGCACATTTATGTGCTATCCACTATACTAAAACTCAACAAAAAAAACAACCTATAATTCTAATTGAAAGAACAACTAATATAAGCAACTTTGATATATATTACACTGTAATGTAAAATTATAAAATTGAAAAGAATCCAACCATGGGAGTTGCAAATAAACAAGGTTCTTAACCCCCCCCCCCCCCCCCTGACACACACACTTATCAATATTTAAAGCGAATCACCTGTCTGTATCATTAACTTTTTTCATTTCAATTTCTTTGTCCTTCATATTTCTTCACCTCCAATGTCTTCAATTTATAAAAAGTCAGGCAGATATTTATACACAGGGTGTTACATAGAATATAATTATACATGTACATGTAACACAACCCCCAACTCCCATCCCCTCTTCAAACTTTTCTTCTCTTTGTACAGTATTCATTGTAAGGTGAAAATCTGAGCTTTTCTAACAGCAGCTATATATTCTCATTCTTCATATATATAAAAACAACAAAACTGTTCTGTTTGTGGTAAATCTTTGTATTTGGCTTTGAAATATTAATAACTCAGTTTAATCAAAAATATCCTTCATATCACTATATTAGTATTAGATAATAGCACAAAACAATAATGATCAACATGCCCATTAATGCACCCTAATTCATAAACATTTATAAAGTATTCTGCATGAAATTTGTCAATTGAATGAAAAAAATCTCTGAATTGAAATGATATAATCAAAATTGAATGGCTTTTAGTACATCTGATTGCACATAAGATTATATATATATGTACAGTAAAATTAGGTTCAATGAGGAGGAGACCCTATTACCAGTATCACTATATCACTTCAAATTACATTTATATTAGGATATGATACATGAAAATAAATTAAAAAATAGTCTATTTTTATAAATAAATTGTATACATAAAAAATGAAATTACAGTCTAGATCAATATGTGGAGCAGGATTAAAAAAATATATGAATGAAGAGCAGCTAAACTACCACATTGATCAGATTTGATGCAATCAAGGAACAGTGCCCTCAAGAAAGTACAAAGACAATAATCCTACTTGAACATGTCCAAATGAAGATAAGATACAAATAGGACTCAATGTAGGTCAATATGACCCAGGATGACACATATTGACCAATCAGAATATCAGAGTTCACAAAGTCATGATGATATGTGAAGTATTATACCCAGTATGTACACATACATATATAATCATACAAACATCAGTAACAATAATGCAACTTGCATGTACATTAATTTCTTATTCTTCACATGAAAGACACTTCACTACATTTTCGATCTGTGTTAGAAATTTTGTGAGTCTGCAGGACCATTTTTGCTGCTTTGAAATCTCTGCTGAAGGCAAGTTGGATGTGATGTAGAAAAATGCCACTTCTTGATAACTTATCACATACAGATTTGCTTATCTTCTTTTGGCCAGGACTCTGTATATATGATGCCATACATGCGTGATAAATAACAGAGTAAAAGTCCACATAGGTTATTTGAACACGTAATCTCGATTCAACCAAAGTCTGCAGACTAAGCACATCATCCAAAGCATTATGGGCTGTATATTTCTGTCCTGTAAGCATTCTTACTAAATTCTCCTGCTTGTAACATCCGTCCACTTCCTTCTTTGGGATCACTCTTCGACACAATTGAAGCGTGTCAATAAACCCTTTGGTTGCTTTATAAAATGTTGAAAATAAATTAAATTCTCGTAATCTTCGAAATAACACATGTAAATCGAAACTCTTTATATTGTGGCCTATGAGCACAGGGTTTTTCTTGGATTGTAGAAAAGTTATGAAGTTGAGAAGTGCTTCCTGTATAAGTTTGCCAGAAACTGCTTTGCCCTGCAAATACATGTATAACGTGTCTGTTCCACGGCAATGTGTTATTCCAGTGACTTTAGAAGCCTCACTTGTAATATTGCATCTTGCAGGGATTAGTCTAGGGCATTTTTACTACCGATATTCGGTATTTTTCCCCAAGAGAATATTTCCCCTGGACACCTAAATTTCCCACTTTGATAAGTAAAAATTTCCCCTAAAAATCTCAAATAATTCCCCCCTTCTTTTTATTGCGTTCTCAAAACGCATTTCGGGGATATCCTTGTTGTCCCGTTCGCTAGGCTCTCGAATGTCTGTATCATCCAGACGTTTGCGCTTATCCACATGTCGAGGTTTGCGCAAACGTCTGGGTGATACAGACTTCTGACCGTGTAACTTCAATCGAAATAATTTGAGAACGAATTAACTTATGAAGCAACAATGTCGCACCGAGAAGGTTATTACGTTAAAAAGCTCAGAAAAGAAGATGCTAAATCCTGTAAGAAAATCGACACAATGTTTAAAAAGCAAACGAAGTTTCCGGATTCAAAATGCAGATTTAGAGACAGAACAAAGTTTAAAGGACCATGATGACGAGTTGGAATCGAACTTCGATGAAATTCGAAAGTCAGTTTGAAAGTGCCGAGGTGTATGGCAAGAAAGATGACTCTCACTCGGACATGAGAACATTTTATACTGAAAAATATGAATTGAAATACCAGTGGCTCGCGTACAGTTATCCAAAACGAGGATATATTTGTAAACTGTGTGAACATTTCGGGAAAGAAAGTATATTTACACGCGGGTGTGATTTGGGGAATCACCCTTCTCGGGTTTTAAATAACCATCAAGAAAGCAGAGTTCACCGAGATGCACAGAAATTAAAAACCCTAGGGAAAGAGGTGACTGTTTTTAAATTGTTACAATCTCAGGAAAAAAATGAATCGTGAAGTACTTAAGAAACTTATCATGTGTGCGAATTTTATGATTAGAAAACGATGGGCCCTTTCAGAAAACTTTGCAGAATTTGTGCAGTTTGTAGCTAGCCTTGGTGTTAAGGACCTAAGTATTCACTTGCAGTCAGCACCAAAAAATGCACTTGTCATCCTTTTCTGTCAATGATATTATGGAAACAATCAGTTATCATCTTGAACAGAAATTAATTGATTCTCTTAGAGTTGGAGAAAAATTCACATTATTAGCAGATGAAAGTACAGATGAAGCAGTTTGCATTGTTTGGGAGATGGAAGTTTCAGAACACTATCCAAGATCATTACCTTGGTATAATTCATGTTGAGAAAACAGACAGCCATTCTCTCACAGAAACAATCAGAACATTTTTTCAAGCTAAAGGTGTTCCCCTGTCTAATGTCAGATTCCTAGTATTTGATGGCACGAATACCATGAGTGGAAATGTTTCAGGTAATAAATGTCTCTAAGTAACATGTCAGATATTAATGATTATGTAGAAAAAAAAGATGTAAATTAAAATGAAATTCCACCAATTCAATGTCAAATTGAAAATGAATCTTTGCTCTTGTAGGAGTCCAGCGCAGACTAAGGAATGAATATCCTTATGCTATATATATGAACTATCGCTGCCATAAACTTGCCTTATGCATGACACACTTGTTAAAAGTGCCTGAATACAGAGTCCTTCAAGACGTAGATGCAACACTGCTTGGTCTTTGGAAGTTATTTGAATACAGTCCAAGCAAGTTTGCTGTCTTTGCGCGAGTTCAAGAGGCATATAACAAACAACCACTTACATTGATAAAAGCTGCAACAACCAGGTATACAGTAATTTGTTTACTTATTTTGCTACACAGTTTAAGAGAATTGTAATATGTGATGTCATGATTATGATATAATATTTTGATTTAAAACTTGAAGTTGAAATATTTTTTTTAGGTAGTTATCCCATGGCAATGTATGCAATAGAATTGTATGTCGGTTTTGGGAACTTGTGGATTGTTTAGACAGCTTGTACGAAGAAAGTTGAGAACCTGAGGTGTTTGGGCTGTGAGCATCATTGTTGCGCAAGGATGCCATAGCTATGATATTATTGCTGTGTGATGTGCTTAGAATAGTAAACAATTTGAGTTTATTTTTACAAAATGAAAATATTTATCTCACTGACATTCCACACAAAGAACGTGAAACACTGGAAAGATTAGATAATTTAATCGAAATGTTGGATGAAAGGGGTCAGCATGAAGAACTGACTTCCTCGAAAGTTCGATTACTTTTTTCTTGAGGTTATAGACAGAACATCTCTGCAGCGAAGAATCGGACATGATGGTCACTGGAATGTCCCTGTGCAGACACTTGGAAGATTTTTTGTTACTCACAGGCCTTCCATTCATCAGGTCTCTTCGTGGTGAAATTGAAGAGGCATTCAGCTTTTCACCGGTTCTGAGGTCTTTTGGGGTCTTGGACCCAAGGAACCTCCCTGATGCAATTGGAGAACTGCAAGACAACGGGAAGGTTAGTGTGAATGTAATTTTAATCTTGTCAACATATTATATGATGATCAATCTACAGGAAATATGCAATCAGCATTCATTATTTGAAATAAATAATTACTTTTATAGCATGACATCCAGACTGTGGCAGATTTTTATGCACATCCCTACCCTGGAATTCCTGCTGACTTTGAATCTGCAGATGCAGTGGTTCTTGAATTGATCAGTGAAATCTTATTTGTTTGTTATTAGGTAAATAAATTAATTAAAACTGTTTCACTTCAGTTAAAATTTTATAAAGTTTTGACTTTACCATATTTACTTTTTTAAATTTTACAAGGTTTTAGCTTTACCATGTTTACTGTTTTACATTACTAATATTTTTCAACTCTAAACACAATAATTATTTTTTTTTGTTTTTGTTTTTGATTTTTTTTTTTTTAGAAAATAGTTATCGTTTCATTACTATGATTACTTTAACAGTTAGCATGCACCAGATTCATCCTAGAAATCAGAATTTCATTTTGTAAGTACAGTCAAACTTGTTTTAAAAGGCCACCTTTGGGAAGTCTGGAAACTGGCCACTTAAGACAAGTGGCCTCTTATTCCAGTTTGCCCTTGAAAAGGACATTTGGTCAATAGATAAACATTAAGCACTACAGTTAAATTAATTAATCATAATTAAACAGTTCAATTTCACAAAAACTTTTTTTGTGTATATATAATAATTCAAGCTGATTTAAAACGAATATTAAAGACTTCGAAATGTTTAAGGTTTTGTGCATGTTTCTGTTCCTACATATAAGTTAAACATCTTGCATTCATAAGTGTACTTTTGTTACATTGAATTATAAATAAATTCTTTCAATTTTCATTTGAAAAAATACATACAGTGCCTAACTATTATCCTTTTTTATAAAGAAAAAAAAATACACAAAAATTCAGTTAAATGGTAAATAAAGTAAAGCATAGGAATTTATGTAAAAATATGTCAATAAAAATGTCACTTACATATGTCAAAAAGATAGTCAGCAGTGTAATCCCCCCCCCCCCCGCCAACTTAATTAATCGGTAATTAACTTACTTGCTGAAGTTTATAAAGTCTGATTAATTTTATTGTTTATAAAGCTGTCATAATTTCTATTTTACCTACACAGACACAAAAATAAAATTAACCAGTTGACCAGAGAGATGTATTTCATTCAATAACACAGGTGTCATGTGCAGTAGAGCGTGACTAATCCCTATCAATCCTCTCTTGACTTATTTTATTGATATTAATTTACAAGTAACAATCAGTTGGAAATTTTACATAATTTATTTTTAAAAAGTTCAATTTTCTGATTTGGGATTAATTTTAAATTAGCTTATTTAAAGTAATAAAATTCTACATACTAATACCCTGTATTAATATTTAGACAGCAGCTTTTGGACCAAGGACTGCAACCTACATTGCCAAACACCCTTAAACAGGCTAGAAGAGAGGAGGTCATGGATCTAATCTACCCAAAGATGATGCAGTTGCTTGAATTAGGATGCTTAATTCCTTGCTCCACAGCTACTGTTGAGAGGGGATTTAGTTTGATGAACTCCTTGTGCACAAATTTACGAAACCGACTTAATCAGTCAAGTTTGGATTTTTTGATGAGAAATTGTAAGGAAGGGAAAGACAATTTTTCTAATGACTAACTTGAGGCCATGGTGGATCTGTTCAAAAAAAAAAAAAAAACAGGAAACTTGAGTTTTAAGGAAACTAATAAAATTTATTTTAAGAAGTGTAGTTTTTTCTTTGCCTTCCAAGTGATATACAAAGTAGTGAAATTGTACATCAATTTCATAGATCAGATTTTGGAGTTTTAAAACTTAAGTAAAGAATTGTCAAAGTTTTCTATTTTAGTAATTTTTTTTCAATTATAAACTATAAATTTTAAGTATAAATACTAAGTGAATGCATCTCTAAAATATGATTTTTCCTTGCTGTTTTATGCACTCCAAAGGGTCTTAAAAATGCTGAAATTCAATTTCGGTCGGGGGGCTTCGCCCCCCTTGCCCCCCCCCATCAGGGCTCTGCTCTGCACACGCTGGGGGCCTGGAGCGGCCCCAGACCCCCGATTGATTTTTCCCAATTTCTCTAGGAAGGGTAGTTTCCCCAAAATGCTAGATTAATCCCTGTCTTGGCAACACATAATCTTGAAATGTATCCTCCCCTACACATGCTGCAATTTGAATTATATCACTGTTTCTTCCCAAACCTGTTGTCTCCAGATCAAATGTTACTATAAGTTAATTACTTAGTCCTTTCAAAATCTAAAAACTCTGGAATTCCCTCCTGTACATTAGTACAGTTGACCTCTAAATTTGATTCATATGTCACTCCTTCTCTTGTAGTTGATATTCTTTCCTTCTTCCTCTTCTCTCTCTGAAGTTGTATTCTCCTCTTTTTGTACTGTGCACTTCTCTGATGAAGTCTCTTTACTCTTCGTCTCTGATCGATCTTTTGCATCAGCTTTGAAGTATATACTCCAGGAGAGAGCTTATTCGCTTTGTTAACCTGTACAATAATATTTCATGACATTAATTAATTAGATTAATGTATTTCAGGCCCATGGTATGGTGGCATCTTTCTGCCCCCATAAAACAAAATAAATTATTTTAACATGCAACATAATTATGTAGACATTTACAAGGTGGTAGTTCATAACTTTTTGAGTCTTCAAATATTAAATTCATTTCTTAAATTTAACAAGAGATGTTTATAAAACATTTATGCCCCCTCCCCATGGAAAACCATGCAATGACAAGAAGTCTGTGAGCCAATGCTTACTAGTAATACCCCTGCGCTGATGTGAGTACATGTACATACATCTACACTATCATGTTTAAATATACACAAGTTCAGCTACTGGTAGATGCACATATATATAAGTTGACATCAGATTCAAACAAAATTAAATTTCATCATATGATATGCCTGAGCGAAGAATATGCAATAAATAGTTGCTTAGAAAACTGCATTGAAAATTTGTTTTGTATGCTACAGATGGACACACAGATAAACATGAAGTTGACATTGGATTTGAATAAAAACAAATCCCATCATATGGTATGCCTTAGCAAATAATGTGCTAAATTTTCAAGCATCTATGATGAATAGTTCTTTAGAAGACTGTGACTAAAATTTATTAAAGACAAACAACCAGACAGTCAGATAGACAGATACACAAGGGTAAAACAGTATACCCCTTCTCCTACAGAGTGGGAGTATAATAAATGGAAACTGCTAACAAGAGGCCCATGGACCACATCACTCACTTGAGCACTTTGGCTAATTAAGAAAAATGAAGAAATTATAGTTTACTATTGAAAAGTTTACACCCAAAAGTAGTCCCAACCATTTATTAAAGGGGAGAGGGTATAATTTGTAAATACTTGAATCTACACTACCCAATAATGTTTCCATATAAATATGATCAATGCTGGCTTTACTATTTTTGAGAAGAAAATTTTTAAAGAATTTTCCTATATATTTCTATGTAAAATGTGGTCGGCCATTTTGGCCCCACCCTTCCCCCTGGGGGTCATGATTTGAAGAAACTTGAATCTACCCTACCTGAGGATGCTTCCAAATAAATATTATCAACCAAGGCTTTGCTATTCTTGAGAAGAAGATTTTTATTTTAAAAAAATCATATATTTCTATGTAAAATTTTGATAGGCCATTGTGGCCCCACCCTACCCCCAGGGGTCATGATTTGAACAAACTTGAATCTACACTTCCTGAGAATGATAAATCTGTACACCAAATTTAATTCCCTCCCTGCATCAAAGGGGGACAAAAATATAGTAAATCACTTTCTAGTTTGTTGATTAAGCCAGGAACATCAACGACAGTGGGAATTATGGAATAATTAATGTAAGTTATTTCATGTTTCCAGCTATTGTTGATGTCCTGGCATACCCAAAAAAGTAGACAGTGATTACTTAGATATGATCAGTATTGCTCACTGGAGTCTTTGACCTCAAAAAGTAACTCATACTTACTTTGGGGAGGTAACTATGGCCTTCGTTTTTCTGCAAAACTGCAGCACTAATTCTGCTTTTCAGAGAACAACTACCACCATAATGCCTGTAATTAATCAAAGTGTAATATATATATCAACAACAAGATATGTGAGCCTCGTCAGATAGAAATCGACCTTATGGCAAAATTTATCAAATTTGAGATTTTTGTGTTTTTTAATGGTCCATGTAAAATCATTCAGAAACTGAAAACGGAATCAATAGATCTTCATTTATAACAAAGTTATAACATTTTGAAATTGGTATGTTTGCAATATTAACTCTGAGCATATCATGGTTTTTTCACGATTCAATTGTCACATGATCATCATGGTTTATTCTCAATTGTTCGGTAGGGCACCTGTCAGATGAATTCGTTGACAATGGACAAGAGGTGATCAGAAAAGCTCAATGGAGCTTTCAGCTCAGGTTACATGTAGCTGAAAAACAAACGATAAATTGATTTTTTTTCCCTTCATTTGATATGCCTTAACTAATTACCTGTTCTTGGGTGCTTTAGTTGCAACCATGTTGTTGACATTTTCATTTGGTTGAGTTGAAACTAAGTTACGCATGTTGGGAATTCTGGATTTGTATTTTTCAACAAGAGTTTCTAATTCTTTCTTGAGTTCATCTCCATTGAGAGGCTTTCCATTAGGAAGACTTGTAAATTTAAAATTTTAGGTACAACATAAAATTACACGAACATTTAAGTACTGCATCTCAATACATGAACCATATTACAGCAAAACTTGTTTAGTAGGAACAGGGATATAGTGAATTCACTTAAATAGCAAACTTAGTGGGGGTCTATGGCAATATTCTTTTCAATTCTTCAAGTTGGTAAAATTTTAGTAATAACGAACTCTAAAATAATAATGAAAACAATACAATGTGCGTGTCCTAACCAAATCATGGTTGGAAATAATAGTATCACTTAATTTTAAGTGTAAATCAATAACAAAAAATCAACAACAATTTGATTAACTTTTGAAATTGACAATTTTCGTACAAGTTTGATCCTTTAAATTAATTTATCAGTGTAGATATTAACATTATTGACCATGAGATTTACCATAAGTTATGTACTTCATGGTGTTGACAATTATATGTAAATAATACATGTACAAACTAAGTACAAAAAGAAGATGGGCGCATTAGGCGGGTGATCTGCAGGAATCATTTGTACGAAA